AAAAAAAAAAAAAAAAAAAAAACAAGCCATGCTTCTGTCATGCTAGGTGTTTAATGTTTAAAACAACCTACAAAAAGAAATATTTCCGACTGACCACACACACTAAACATACGGGTGGAAATATGGTCTCGATCCGCCTGTGGAATGATATGACATTTTTAGAGGAACTTGCGTTCTCACTTGCGTAATGGAAGGATTTTGAAAGGGTTTTTGTTTACCACATGGGGGGAAGAGAGGTTCTTGGAAGTAAACGCAGCGAGAAGAAATCTGTTGTAACATCCACTGGACATTCCTGTCGGAATATTTTCACACAGTAAATATGCGTGGTGGTGTTTACGGGCTGCTTTCGTACAATTAGGAGTTTTTAGTCAAATATTGCATTTATGTAATGTTGCATTTGCTGTTTATAGTACTGCAAATCAAATCGATGATGGTAGATTACTTTGTCAGTATGGTCAGTGACCGCCTAAAACAAATGCATTTCTCACTTTATACAAAAAGATAGCTCTGCAAGTAATTATTTTATTTTTAGATTAATCTATCAATTATTCTAACAATCTGACTAAAAAAAACCCACATTCTACAGATTTTTTGCTTAACTTCTTAAGCTTTTTTGTACTGCATTAAATACATTAAAATATGCACATAAACAATTCAGTTCCTTTAAAAAAAAAGTTTTGCCTAAAATGCAACCCGTAACATTCCTTCAGTAAATCTGAACGGGGTGAAGCTAAAACTATAGCACTTGAGGTATTTTTTTTTTCGAAAACATGTTGCAGACAAAGGTGTTTTATCTTAATTGCAAAATGTACAGTTTGTACAGTTTTGGCTTAATTTAAACTCTGAATAAGTTTTTTTTTTTTCCCCTACACATGACCTTTTTTGATTCGCCAGTTAACAATCGATTACCAACTTAGTTGACGACTATTTCAATAATCGATTAATCAGGATTAATCCGATTAATCGTTTAATTCCTGTAAAAATGCAATTCAAACTGGAGTTATTGGGTTACCACAGGTTAGGTTTTGTACTTTGTCTCATCAAGCAGACAGTTTTCTCAGAATGACTGCAGGCCCAGGTAAAACAGTATTGCTGCTGGTAGTGTAAACATTAGTCACTGTATCTTGATTGTAATAAAAACGCACCGCTCGCTTGTCAATAGGGGATTTATGGTGCTGCAATTTGCAACGTTTTATACGGTATTGCGCTTTTATACCAGACTGTCTGAATTTATGTGCATGTGTTAATTTTGTGATGTAGATTTATCAAAATAAATCAATCATGTTTTTTTTTCTTTTTAAACTAACCAAATCTGACAAAATCCATCCACCAATAATTGTGGTTTATATTTTGTCTGATTTTTGTCGGCTGCAACCTCTAGAGGCTTATGCAAGTATTTGGTGACAAGTTTTTAAACAATCGCATGCATGACTATGATTTATTATTTTTTTTTAAATGATTATTTTTATTGTCATTTGAATAACATTCACAGTGATGGAGAGTATCGGCTGTTGCAGCTTCTTGCCTTTCATTTGTCGCTCTGATCTCCTCAAAGATCTTCATCTTGGGATTAAATTTTACAATGCTCAAAGTTGGTTGGCAATTCAAATTAATCGTAAGTAAACAATTAACTGGATCTTTAGTAAAATATATTAAAAACACAATTGTCAACGGACCACATCATAAAGGAGTAAACATTTAGCTGGTTGCCCAGCAAGAGAAGCTAACGTTGTAGCTTCTGAAACATCATTCCTGATGGAAAAAAAGTGATATGAATTAAAAAAAATAACAGTACTAAGGTGATTATTTGTGCTTGAAAGTAAAATGGAAATACCTATTGGGCAATTGAGAGCTTATATACATATTTGCATTTCCATGCCAAGTGACGCATCTCAACACAAAGTAAATTTCTCCCCCTGTTTGCCGTGCTTCCGCTCCGGTCTTTCAGGTGATTTCCTTCTCCCAGCCACTTTCAGTTTCATGGATTGCAGTGGTGCTGAATCAAAGGGAATAAAAGAGGAGAAAGAAAATCCAGAGCCATTACACCCAACACCCCCACCACCTCTCCTGTCAGCCCCCTTCAGCTTGAAATGGGAGCTTCTCTCTCTTTATTCCTCTGTGTGTGTGATGGATGGAAGTTTTCTTTGTCGAGACTCAGTATCCCAAATAGATGTGATGAGGATAAAGGCACCCCGGAGGAAGTGGGGCAGAAACTAATGAGTGTGAGTGCAGTCCAATGTGTTTGGAGCCGATCGGGAGCCTCTATGAATAAGTCAGAAATGTTTCCTCCTTCATGCCGTTCTCTCTCTTTCTGCTGCCGCTTCGTCCAGTCCCTCCCTCCCTTCTGTTGTGTTCCTCGAGGACAGAGCTGATCTAATCTTTTTTAGCTAGATCTGTTTTTTTTTTTAGGGCTGCAACTAATGATTATTTTAGTTGTCGATTAACCCCTTTATTGTGACGATTGATTGGATTAAAAAAAAGGGCATGTTTTACTGATTTTTCATTTAACTGCTTAATCCTTTTTTTTTAAATACAATTTTAGAAATGCATTAGAAGATGCTAATTAATCCAATTCACTTTTTCAATAAGGAAATAAACATTTTATGGCCTAAAATGAAACGCCACAGCATTGCTTTAGTAAATCTGAACCAGGTGAAGCTAAAATTATACAACTTGAGGAGTTTTGGCTAAAACATATTTATAGACAACGGTGGTTTCATCTTAAATGCAAAATGTATATATTTACTGCTCTGAATAGGTTTTCTTCACCAAATGACCTTTTTTTAGTGTGCATACTCCAGTTAATGATTAACAGATTATCTCAATAATTGATTAATCATTTCAGGTCAACAATTTTTGTAAGGTCAGTTTTTTAGATTCATTCTGAAAGTGCACATATAATGCTGTTGTGAATTTATTATTTTATTTAAGTCCGATTGAGATCAAGACCTCTTTTACCAGGGTGGACAAGACGCCTCCATGAGTACTCCAAATACAAAAGTCAAATTACAAACAAAAAATCTTAAGTGTTTTGACTCGAGAAGTTGGATCTTTTCAAGTTTCTAAAATTTCTTGGGTTTTTTGTTTTTCTTCCTTCATCTTAAAGCTCACAACCCAGACATGGCCATTTTGAACAGACTGAACCAGGTTTGGTATTGCAACCCCATTAGCTTTAAGAACAGACAAGGAATAAAAGGGACAATCTATGAATAACAGAAGTTATTTTCTAAAGCGTCAATTTTCATACATGGTACAGCAAGTAGGTTAAAGTTTGCAGCTTGTGAGTTTCAAAGCATTTCTATGATTTCTGCTTTTATGTTGACATTAATGGTGTAAAATGTCAAATAAGTAAAAAAAAAAAAAAGAAATCTATTTATTGGAGTTAGCATTTTTAAATGTTACCTTTCTGATGTTTGCCTAATCTTTTTTCTCTCAGGTAATCAACCTGTTGGATCTGTCAAAGGGCAACCACTGGGATCCAGGTCCTTGAGTCATAAATGACAAGGTATGAAAGGCAGACCAGTCATTTCATTAGTGTTATCACAGCTGAGATTGTACTTGACAGTAGTGTAGCTAATTTATTGTCATTTCTGACCTGGTTTCTCTTTTAACAATCACATTGCTCAGTTAAACATTACTTGACAAGAGACAAGAACACTCTATTCAAGAAAACAGACAAGCTACGGTGTCCTCTTGTGAAAATTAGAAAATAATCTTGAGTGCATTATAATTCCCTCAGAAAGTATTACAGTGCCTGCAAAACATCTTTGCACAGTATTTAACATTTCATACAGTTGAAGTCGGAGGAGGTTTTTCTGTGGTTTCCTTTCAAAGGCAAGGTGTGAACTTAAGACAGGGTGTCCGTGCGCACACCATTTAAAAGACTTAAGTTTGTGTTACTAAAATTAATGCCTTAAAATGTCTTAAATTCATAAAAAAAAAGTAAGTTTGCTTTAAGAAGGTCAATTACAGGTCTTACATTTTGACGTTTAGTTTGTTGTGGGGAATTTTGTCAGCCAAAATTTTTTTGACTCGCACACAAACATCTTTATTGCGTTCTGTGACTAGGCGTTTGAGGCTACCGGTAACTAGCTGCAAATATGCTCTTGCTAGCTAGCTAGCTTTTTTTTTTTTTTTGCTTTTATTATGAGCACAAATCCGGTTTCACAGATTTTACTATGCTTGTTTGTAAATGCAGCCATTTCCTCTAACTATCCCCCATATTTATTTATATATATATATATATATATATATATATATATATATATATATATATATATATTTTTTTTTTTTGTTTTATTTTTCATTGTTTTTTATATAAAATATGTCTAAAAATCTCATATAT